GATCAAACTTGCACATGCTTGTGTTCTAGAGCCTGACACTTTTTGCGCTGGTTTCATTGCAGGGCAACTTTTCTCTCACAGCATGGCGGATGGGGGGCTTCTTCAGGCTCTATTCCAGGAACGGCTGATCTATGTCCTGCCTTCGACGCAACTGTGGTCTTCGCCTCAAAAGTGGACCATTCTTAGGGACTATTCAGAGAAAAAACATGACTCGATCCCTGTTGACACTTCACATCCTTGTAAATGATTTGAAAAGCCACTTAACCTGCCGCCAAAATGTGCGTTTTTCCAAGCGATGTGTGTGTTTTTTTGGTGTTACATTACCTTAATTTACCGCTTTGCTTGACAAATGCTGGAAAAGCAGGCAGCAGCAGAGACTTTGGAAACCTGTTCCTTCGCAGACCGGTGACCTTTGCAAAGGCCCAGTGCCCCGGCCTTCCTTTCGGGAATGAGCTTTGGCAAGTGTTTGATGGGTTGGGAATTCGCTTTGAAGAGCGGTGTGACAAACCTTTCCTAAGCCCGTACAGGCGCGATGGTGATCTTGCCAGCCGATCTATCACTACCGGCGAAGTTACCAGCTTTCTGCAACTTTTCCTGTCCTTCAAGGGCTTCGATGTTGGGAATCGGCAAATCACTTCGCATTCCCTTAAGCATACGGGTTTGTCTTGGGTCGGCAAATATGGCATGACAAAGGAGGATCAGTGCGTTCTTGGCCATCATAGCGATAGTGTTAGGGGTACTGAGGCAGTGTACTCATACGACTTGTCAATTGGAGCCGTCCAGCGCTTTGAGGTCTTGCTGCACTACATTGCATCCGGTGAGTTTGTGCCTGATGAGCCCAGGTCCAAGTTTTGGAAATTTCCTCCAGTGCAAGTGTGCCAGAGCCTGCCACCCCTAATGAAGTTGACATGTCTGAGCGCTCACCCGGAGTGGATGAGTTTCTTGAAGCCACTCCTCCTGTCAGGGGTGTAAGTCCTTGCCCTTCGAATGTAGGAGACCTGCGTGATGACGAGCCAACTTCCGCGGCCTCTGGTCAGGAAGAAAGCTGCAGCTCCTCCTCGAGTAGTAGCTCCTCGAGCACGTCCTTGCCGCCCAGGAAGAAATTGAAAGGCGATCCCGCTTTTCGAAATGAAGTGCAGAGCTCCCAGGTAGCTGGATGGTTCATGTCAAGTCTGGCGTGCTGCGCCTTAAGTATGGCGAACGCATGTTGCGCTGCGGTCGTGCTATTTCCTCGCAGTTCAGAGCTGTGCTGGATGCTGATCTAGATGGCCGCGTATGTATGACTTGCCGCAGGCAGCTCTAGTTTTGTTTGTGATCATGCGCCATGTCAGTGCAAATGGAGGATGTCTCCCACGTGTCCCCCCACAGGGACTTGTGCGATGTGCGCGCGTCTGAGAAATGTATCTCAGATTTTATAGGGGGGAACACGACCCCGTCAAGTTGAACTGGACATGGATGTTATTTGCAACATGTGTGTACACTAGCGTGCCGAACTGCCGCTAAAATGTTTGATGTACATGGGAGAAATGCTCCTTCACCTCGAGGGGCACGGCCCCATAGGCGAGAAATGCTTGATGAAAACCAACCGCCTGTTGTAACGCCTGCGCTTGCTCCAAAGCTATGATTGCAACATGAGTGTACTTATGGGCTACTGCTGACGGATGCCTGATTTGCTAGGTGGCCGCTGAAGTCTCTCGAGCCATGGTTTCCGTCCTCGACTCAGAGGCTCATTTTGAGCGTAAAGCCAAAGAAGCTGGAATCACGGACCCCAATGTGACAGTCTGGAAAAATCGAGGGTTCAAGACACTGAGCCAAGTCGCATACGGCAGAGGCAGATTTTGCAACTTTCTGCAGCACCCACTTTGCCAGCTTTTCCATAGGGGAAATCAGCAGCCTGCGCCGTTTGATCTTCGAGAGCCAGACTTTGACAGTTGCTTCCTTGAGACTCCAGGTAAGCGATCCAGATGCGGCCAGTAAACAGAAAATGCCGGAGGCTGAACGTGATGTCAGACTCGAGAACCTAAAGCGCTCCCTTCCTGGAATCACCATCGAAGGGCATCTTGAACCAGCACGGTGCTTACTTGATGCAGCCGCTCGCATTGAGGCTTCCAACCAGATTGTCTACTTGGCGCCCGAGAAGTGTGTGTCAAGGCTGTATGAGGTGGCGCAGTCCAAGCCCATCACAAAGCAAGTAGACATTGAAGCAAGCAAGCTTGTCATAAAGGAGGCCGCTGATCCAGTCGAGGCTCCCACCAATGGTGCTATGGCCCTGTTTGATGCGCTAAGGAGGAGGGGGCTCGCACTCTGCTTCGCCAACCTCATTCACTGGCCTAATTACGAGCGGTATCTCAATACCCTCTTTAACCACCTGCACCGCGAAGCAAAACCTGGATATTTAAGGTGCGCAATTCGCCAACTAGTCGAAGCCGATAGGCTTTGTTGGTCGCGTCTCATAGAACAAAATGTGAAACCTCGGCCCAACCCTGGAGATCCTCTGCCTTTAGACTCCAAGCTACAGGCAACTTTGGAAAGCTATGATGTGAGCTTCGAGTTGATGCCTCTGCCTCAACAGCCGCCAAAGCGCAAAGAATCCTGGCCAGATCGTGCCCCGAAGGTGCCCAAGGGCGGTGCCAAAGGCAAGGGTCAAAACAAGGGAAAGGGCGCGGGCAAGCCGGCAGCCCGCAGCATGATCAAGATCCCGTGGGGCATACGCAGCAAAGGTGGAACGGCCGAGACGCCACATGGCTCCCGCATCTGTTTTGACTACTCACTTGGAGAGTGCAAGTTGGGCGATGCCTGCGCAAAAGGCAAGCATGTGTGTGCCATCTGTTATGGCGCTCACCGCATGGTTGATCACCCGAAGAGTTGACTAGACCCCAACTCGGCCAATGTAGGCCGCGACAATTCCTCATGCATCGTCACACCGCAAGTGTGTGCTACACGGCCCCTAAAAAGGCCTCTGCTGCCTGACTCTGGGGAGTCAGAATCCTCCTGCATGCCTGCTCCAGATCCTGAAGAGTTGGCGCAGGCGCCTATCGCAAGGGCGGCATTGTGGGTCTACGCTCTGCGTGCAAGCGACTCCCAGCATGTACTGAGGTTTTGGCCAGGTACGTGCGTCAGGAACAGCCGGATGCTGTTTTCTCAAGCATTGCCATACTTGACAATGTCCCGTCAGGTTTTCACAAAGATGTGGCGAACGCCCATTGCGACAACTATGTGTTTAAAATGTCCGAATTCTCAGATGGCGGAGTTTGGTGTGAGGATGCCCAGGGCACGGATGTCAGGTCCGTCAATGGTGCGCAAGTGCCCGGCCGGGTACTGCCTTTCTGCAATTATACACTTCGCTTGCCAGCGTACAAAGCCTTGCGTGCCACTGAGCCTTGGTCTGGCTCACGCATTGTGCTAGTTTCATATTGCCTGCAAAACTTAAGTAGTTTGCCCCCTGCGCAAGCCAATCAACTTGCCCAGCTAGGCTTTCAGCCTGATCTTGCCACAGGTGACCTTCATGCATCCATGCAGACACATGCGCCCTGCCAGACCATGTCTGAGGAGGATGAGGCCCCTGTGTCCACCCCCAGCAAGCACAGCGATAAACCACTTGTTCTGGAACTCTGTGCCGGAACAGCAGGCCTGTCTGCTGCCTTGATAGAGGTCAACTTCGATATCGTTGCCTTCGATCATAAAGGAATCCCTGGGGCCAAAGCAGCCATCCAGATCGCAGATGAGCACGGTTTCGCCTTGGCCAAAAGGCCTCCTCCTTCACCCGCGTTGCGCAGGATGCTTCGCTGCCCCTGTCTGCGGCGCAGCAAGCAGGGCAAGGGAGATTGCTTCAGTTGATGGCCCAAAACCGCTCAGGTCCGAAGATGAACCCGATGGCTTAGCCAATCTTTCACCGAGTGATCAGCTGCGTGTTAACAAAGCCAATGACTTGTATCATGCAATCTCTAACCTTGCCCTTGTAGGTGCCTCTAGGGGTTTAGTCCTGGTTATTGAAAACCCACGTCGATCCCTTTACTGGCGTACCAGTGCTTTCTTGAAAATCAAACATCTCTTCAGCTTCACCGCGTTTCAGAATTGCGCGTATGGGTCTCGCAGAGACAAGTGGACTGCGTTGGCCTTTTCTTCGCAGCATGCCGCTTTTGCCGCCTTAAATCGCGTCTGTCCAGGTACCGCTTGCCGGGCAACGCATTTGGCCTGGGGGCATTCGGCATCTGCCTCACATGGTTTTGCAACCTCAGCCGAGTCTGCGTACCCCATAGCCCTCTGCAGAGAAATCGCAAATGTCTTTGCCAAAATCTGCAAGCCTGGAAATGCCGCAGTAGCTCTGCCCTTGCATGCAATCCAATCCGCCGTGGCCACTCAACCTAAAGCCTCCAAAACACCCATGCTTGTGCCAGAGCACAAACATATTCTCCGCTTGTGTTTGCCAACCTCCACACAGCTGCCCGTACAGCTCCGCGGGCGCATCAAGGAGCCCTGGCCCATACCTCTGACTACATCCGCCAACATGTCTGAACTGCCGGTGGACAGCCAGCTCCTCAAAGTTCATGCTCTGCCGGATAAGGGGGGTGTGGCTTTCAATGAAGTTGTTTGGGGTGTGCCACGGAGCCCGGAAGAATTCCTCACTAAAGCTATGGAGTCTGGACATCCTCGTACGCTGGAGGCAGCAATCCCACAGGTGCTCAAGGATGCCATCTTGCAGCGCAAGAAAAGTGCCCCAGGAAACATTGCAAAGGCCAGGGCAGAGTTCTTTGCTAAATGGCTAAAAATTGCACAGGATTTGAAAGCCGACGAGGCCAAGCTCAAGGAAGGCATGTCGAAGGAGCGGCAAAGGATTTTAAAACCAAAGAGGCTCTTAGTGTGGCAGGCCATGCTCAAGGAGGCAGGATATGCCGATGTAGGCGTTGTTGAGGAAACTATTAAGGGGACTGACTTAGTGGGTGAGGCACCGGCCACGGGCATCTTCAACACCAAATTCAGACCTGCAAAGCGAGCGGTTGAAGACCTTGCATCATGTGCGCCGGTAGCTCGCGAGGCTGTCCTCCAATCGGTCAGAAGCCAAGGCAAAGAAGTGGATGCTGAGGTTCTTTGTCAGACGCAGGCCGAGGTTGATAAAGGCTGGGCCACAGGCCCCATCGAAGTCAAGCACCTTCCCCCTAACTCCATAGTTTCGCGTAGGTTTGGTTTAGTCCAACCCAATAAAACTCGGTTGATAGATGACCTATCTGCGTCAGGCATAAATGATACTGTGCAGGCGGAAGAGACGCCTACCCCACATACGGTCGATGTGGCAGCAGGCATGATTGCATCTACCATGAGGCATTTGCCGGGCAAGCAGCACAAGGGAAGGGCGTATGACTTAGTATCGGCATACCGGCAATTGGCCGTGAGTGACGGCTCACGATGGGCGTCCTATGTGGCGCTTTGGAATCATCAAACGAGCGATGTCTCCATTTTTGCATTGCATGCCTTGCCCTTCGGAGCAGCCCGTTCTGTTTTGTCCTTTTTGAGGGTCATACACTCGGTCTGGCATTTGGGGGCCTTTCTCCTCTGGCTAATTTGGTCTTGTTATTACGACGACCTAATTTCCCTTTCGGATGCGGAGCACACAGATTATACGCGCAGAACCATCGATGCCTTCTGCACGTTGTTGGGATGGGTTTATGCCAAGGATGGTTCCAAGAGCCAAGCCTACTCAGAGGCCTTTAGCGCTTTGGGCGTCTGCTTCGTCCTGTCTGATATGCACCTGGGCAGAGTCACGATCTGCAACACCGAAAAACGAATTCAGCAGCTGCTAGAGTCCATTCGAGGTTTCTTGGTCAAAGGTAGCGTGACTGTGCCGGAGGCTCTCAAACTCCGAGGGCAGCTTCAGTTTGCATGTGGACAAGTGCTGGGGCGGCAATTCCGTATTTTTCTGTCCGTCTTGACGGATTATGCCTACGGGGACTCTCCCCCTATTCTTCCTCCTATGTGCACGACCGCCTTGGAAAATTTTGCATGGATGCTCGAGCATTCCAGTCCGCGTGCCATCAGCGTGGATAACCAAAGGCCCATGTATCTTTTCACTGATGCATGTTACAATCCCCAAGATGATTGGAAATGTGGCATAGGTGGGATGTTGTTCAACCACAGAGGCCAGCTGTTGGCCGGTTTCTCCCACAAGTTGGGGTCCAGTGAACGCATCATGTTGGGGGAGGGCTCCAGTGACACAATCATAATGGCAGCGGAGTTCGTGGCAGTCGTGTGTGCAGTAAGCGCATGGCAGGATAGATTCATGGGTGTACCCTTGGTCCTATGTATCGACAACAACGCATGTCGTGATGTCCTCATCTCGGCAAAAGGCAGATTGCCTCTCATGCGGAAGCTCCTCGCCCATTATTTGAAAGTTGAGCACAAGGTGGGATATACACCGAAGGTGGCACGGGTTCCGTCACCCAGCAATTGTGCGCTGACGCTCCGTCCAGAAAGAAGTTTGCTCACCTCACTTGGAAGAATCAATCCATTGCGTGCACCAAGGTCGAAGTCCATCTTGCATCCATTCTCGAAGTGTGCAAAAATTGAAACGGATAAGAGGGGTTAAGGTTCTAGTTATGGTTTATGGTTTACCCGTGTGTGCACAGCGCCGCCTGTGCTAGGAGTAATCCCTAACCCGCCAACTTTGGCCCCCTGGCCATGTGCTGCTTGAGCATCAACCGGATGTTCAAAACTGGCCATGCGCATGAGGAAGCGGAATCCCCATCGCTGCGAAAATGAAGGGCCGTGCGTTGGTTTCTGTGTTGCAGGGTTCCACGTGCTGTCACTTAATGATGTTCGGCTTGCATACTTCTTAATTCCTGTGTCATTCGCACGCAATGATTTTTGGGAACGTATTTTGCCAAAATGGCTCAAACCGTTTGGCTCAACAATAAGCATCCCGTCCCCGCATAGGGGAGAGTGTTTTATAGTTGTGCCTACGTTAAATTTTGCTTGGGGGCAAAATTGTTTGAGCCATTTTTCTTTATGCACCTAATGAAAAACAAAAATTCTTCCCCATAATGGGTCTGAGCCAGTTTGTTTCCCGGATCAAACTTGCACATGCTTGTGTTCTTGCAGTGTGTGGCTCTCAGCCAGGAAAATTTTTGCCCCACCCACCCAACCCGTGTGGCTGCCGCCTTTTCACAATGTCAGCATTGTCAAAGCTAATGACGCAAACTTGCGTTACTCTCTTGATATGGTGCGGGGTTAAGGTTCTAGTTCTGGTTTATGGTTTACCCGTGTGTGCACAGCGCCGCCTGTGCTAGGAGTAATCCCTAACCCGCCAACTTTGGCCCCCTGGCCATGTGCTGCTTGAGCATCAACCGGATGTTCAAAACTGGCCATGCGCATGAGGAAGCGGAATCCCCATCGCTGCGAAAATGAAGGGCCGTGCGTTGGTTTCTGTGTTGCAGGGTTCCACGTGCTGTCACTTAATGATGTTCGGCTTGCATACTTCTTAATTCCTGTGTCATTCGCACGCAATGATTTTTGGGAACGTATTTTGCCAAAATGGCTCAAGCCGTTTGGCTCAACAATAAAGAGAGCTGCTTATTGCTGCGGATTCTTCGTGTGAATCCTTGAAGCACCTTGAGGCCAGCTTGCTCGTGCGCGTCTGTTTGCTGCGGGTAAGCCCGGAGCCGTAAAGATCTGTCGTCAGCACATGCACCGTTTTTGGATGTTTTTGGCACAGCTTTTTGGTTGCCAAAAGGGATGTTTTTCGCACCGTGTTTGGTGAAAATAAGGCGGCGCATTCACGCCAGGTTTCTTTTTTCAGTGAAGATGTGGGTAGGTTTTGTCGTCCATCATGTTGATTTTTGTCCGAAGCTGATTGAGTCACATTTTTTGTTGAATCAGTATTGTTTGATTCATGGTTTAGTCAAGCAACAATCATGTGCAATCAAAAGTCGCATGTTTAGGCGGACATGTCCAGAAAAAATTGTCTTCAGACTCGTGCTTCGACAACACAGTTGGGGTTTCCGGGCCCCTGTAAGCTTGCGACTGCATGCAATTACGTCAGTTGAAACAAACCTTGTGGCAAAGCTCCAAGTGACCATTCCAGTGCAGGCAGGTTTACGTGTGTTTATTTTCATGAGGCCTTCTAAGTTTTTTGCTAATGCGTTTGCTGTTTCATGGCCATGGGGCATCCAATGCAAAGATGGACTGAAATCCTCAACGAACAATGTCATGCAAGAACGTACTTGCCTGCAGGTCAGGTTTGTTTTTTCTCCTTGCGCGGTTTGCGAAGCATCATTGCAGCCACGTCGAGGTTTACGTGCCACAGTCGGAACGGATCAAGCGGGCTCGACCATGTGAACATGATACCTGCCAGGTAGAGGGGACAGACATAGCCGCAGCCACATGCCTTTTTTTTCTCGGTGATTCTAGGCAAGTTTGTCCGCAATGTTTGTTTGTTCAGTTCAACTTTTCGGATTAAAATGCATGAGCACCATTCAGCCACATGTTTTTTGTTTACATCCTGAGATTTTAACTTAGCTGCAAGACTGAAGGTTAGAATGCCTTTGGTGTCATTTCATGGCTTCTGCTATTGAAGATCGAGCCGACTCCCCGGAAAGTTAATTCCGGTTTTTCTAGATGAGGGTATCAGGTAATTTTCCAGAAGCGCACCATTTGGGTGGTTGTCAAAATTATGGTCCCTGTTTGGATCCCTATTAAAATACGGCACCTAATATTTAGGGTACCCAAAAGGGGACCATAATTTTGACAACCATCCATTTATTTCCATATCATACATGTATTCAACATGCTGATGTGGGTCTTTCGCAAATAAGCTTGGGGTTAATACTGGGGCATCCGCTGGGATC